ATGTATGTTATTCATTTATTAATGTAATCAAATGATTTTTTTACATTTTCATGCTTACCATATATTTTAGGTACAAACCTCTCCACTAAGATATGTAGAATAGATATGGCATCTTCTATAATTCTTCTTCAATGTAAAATCGATATTATCTAATTCTAATACATAGGAAAATATTTCATAATAAGTTATGATCGTACAAAAAGAGTTAAATATGTTATTAAAACTTAAAATCTTGGTTTTTTCACGAAGCACCTATCAATCTCGGACGGAACATAAGTTTGAGAAACGCTGGTCTACATCAAGTACAGAAAACTGTCTGAACAAAGCGTTGATCTATTTCGAAAAATATTATACCAAAAACACACTCTTTTATACAAAACAAGTGTGTATGTGTGTTTTGACGAAGAAATGCTCAAAAAACTTATACAGACCAGAATAACAACTCACACACATATTTGTCCGATCATACGCTACCTTCCCTGTTACTACTCGGGCATTTACTCAATAACTACTCCATGCATACAGACAATAACATCAATATAGAACAGTATGCAAACATTTTGGCCAAGACTGTATTATCGTATACATTCCATTGCGTTGATACCTTTTAATTATGTTCTTCCTAACTTTTGGTTGTATCAAATACTTCTCGCTTAACAGCTAATTTTCACTATTATCATTATTATATTTTTTAGTTATAATGTTGTGAATCAACTTTTTGATTACTTAAAGATGTTTTTTAGTATTGATATTAATGTTTCTAATATTTATTTTATACACTCTGTTAATGATATGAAAATAGAACTCGATTGTGAATTGGCAAAATATAATAACTGGGTCTATACTTATAATAATCTTACAATATGGTTTAGTAATATTTTAGTTTATAAAGTTAGTAATTTCTATTGCAAAATAATTTTTAGCTTGGTCTGGCATTGCCTGGTGGTTAGGGCAATCTGCGGGTCGCGGGTTCAAATACCGTCCCCAAACATGCTTGCCCTTTCAGTCGTGGGGCATTATAATGTGACGGTCAATCCCACTATTCGTTGGGAAAGACTAGCCTAATAGTTGGTGGTGTAGATTAGCTGCCAGGACCACTTCAAAATTAGGAATGGCTAGTGCAGATAATAAAGCGAAACACTGAGTATTCAGTTAAAACAAAATAACGAATTTGGTATTATGAGGTCATTGATTTATAGTATTAAAAATATCCCCATTCGAGCAGTTTCAATGACATTTGTTAGATCTAAAGTATCTTACTGTCTGGCTATGACATAGCGCTTTAGACCATTTAAATATAATTGAGTTTTTATTTTTAAACGTGGTACAGACATAAGCCACTAAATAATATTGAACTATTAACTTTCCACGCACGTGTTTCTTTAGAACGTTTAAACAAACATAAAAGATACTCTTAAATAAAATGTATTTTAGATTATATTAAAAAAATCTACCTACCGCATAAAAATGTGTTGTGATGAATAAGGTATGTTTTTTTAACTTATCTATATTTATCGTGATGTAAACGAGCAAATTCAGTTTATCTTATTCCAACAGTTATCTTATGTTATGAAATTAAAATTAGGCCTGGCACAATGATTATTCTCAGTCTAAGCAGGCTAGGTTTAGCCTAAATTAATTCTAATTTCTAACGTTTCTTATAAGTTATAGGGTTAATATTTGTCTAGAATTACTATTGCAATTTAGACTGATCTATTATTGAGCTTGTTAATAAAAATCATTGTAGAACAATTTGTCAATGTAGTCTGACTTATAATTATAATAATTACTTAGGCCTACTGGAGGAGGGAGAGGAGAGCACGCCTAGTTAGACTATTTTGATTAGAAAATATTAGATCTAATGTTACATTTTACTTACCATAAAATATAATCTAAAAAAGGAAAAGGCTCATTCTACTGTTACGAAAATTATGATATGTTTAACATTTAAGTGTTTTGGATCCACAACTTGTCGAAATAATGAGCTAAAACAGAAGACAGCTTCTTTCTTTGCAGCCGCCTTTCCCACTTTTTAGCAATTTTTTTTTCTTTTCGATTATACAAACATTGTGACAGAACTGTGTGGGTAGTAACTAAATCTGATAACGAAACAAATAGAATATCTAACTTGAAATTTTATATTCCTCTTTTTTGTATAATAAGATTAATTTCAATGTGTTTTAGAGGATGGCGAACAACAAGTTATCAAGAGTATTCATGGCATATTTACGATTTAGAATCGCCTTTGGTATTATTGCCATTTTATTTACTGGTAAGTTTTAAGATTGTTATTTGTTTTTGAAAAATGGACGAAACTGGCATGATTTATTAAATATCAATATTCAAATCAATCTCATTAGATATAACAAGATAAATATTATAAACCCAGTGTGGAAGTTTATTTCTGAAGAGCTTCGTTGTTCTTTTCTGCTCTGTTTGTTGTTTTTTTTAACGATGATCTCAGAAAATCAATTTTGCAAAGTGTCAAATAAACCTTTTTCATACTTTCAACCTTAACGATAAATTCAGAATTAACGTAAAATACAAATACCTGTATAAAACACATTTGAATTTTTTAAACCAATTTATTTATTTATCTGAAATATGTAATATCCTTTCGGCGTTAAACTGGATGGTCTTTAGAAAAATCTAAGCGTAATTGTCTTCAACCTTTTGATAACTTGTTATATATTTCATTCTTCACTAAACCGATGTGTGATAAAGAATATAACATTTGTAATTAATCCAGCTTAACAAAGAGCATTCCTTGGTCACATAACTTATTAAAGCCAAATTACCAAAGCTAGGGTAAATACTAGGGGATAAACTCCTGCTTCGCGAATGATATATGTAGTGAGATTATATGATTGGTGAGACATTATTTATGAACAAATAAAAATTAAAAATGGATATAGATGGCATTAAATGTTCGAACCTCCTGCATACGAAGCGTGTGCTGTGCTATATGAGCCATAGCTCAAACAGTTTTTTCACATATGCAGCATTATTAAGTAGAATAATATATACGAGAAGGATGTATTAGGTCTTCAAGAAATTAATGTTGCTTTTTTTAGATGAAAAACCCGAACAACTTATATATATATATCAAAACAAAACATTTATTAAATGAAATAGCCTACATTCTTATCGATGATGCTTTCCCACCTTACAATCAGGTTGTTAATGCCCTGATTAAAGAAATCACTTGGCTTCG